TACAACCCGACAACCTCCAGGGGACACTCACGGAGCAGACTTGGTGGACACTCAAGCACTACATCAGCAAGTTCAGTTACAGAGGCTTTGGCCCCAGCACTGCTGCTTCTCTTCTGAAGTTGCAGTTGGTCCTCACAGTGAATCTGCCTGGGGGTTGATCCCTTCCGTAATGTGCCAACAACAATCAAGGCTCCAGGACAGCAGGACAGAAAACACAACCCACACACAGCACAGGCCTGGAGCGCCTCGCTGGAGTAACTCGGGAGGGCGTGCCACTGGGCCCTACAGAACGCCTACTTGAGTCACGCTACCAAGTCCAGCAGATGGCGCAGCTCTACCTAATACGTACACAGAGACAAACACAAAGACCCGGCCAAGTGAGAAGACAAAAGAGGGGTCCCAAATGCAAAAAAAAGGGAAATCTCCAGAAGAAGAAATGGAGGCAAGCATACCAGATACAGAGTTCAAAGCAATGGTTATAATGATACTCAAGAAACATCATGAAAACTTCAATAGCATAAAAAAGAACAAGGAAACCATTAAACATGAGTCAGAAATAAAGGATCCACTAATGAAATAAATTTAAATATTGCAAGGATTCTAAAGTAGAGTAGATGAATGCCCAATTCCGTTTGGCTCAATGGATAGAGCATCCACCTGAGGAATGAAGGATCTTGGGTCCGATTCCAGTCAAGGGCATGTACCTCGGTTGCAGGCTTGAACCCCGGCCCTGGTCAGCTTATATGGGAGGCAACCAGTCGATGTGTCTCTCTCACAACAGTGTATCTCTTTCTGTCTCCCCCCTACCCTTGCACTCTCTCTAAAAATCAATGGAACAATATCCTTGGGTAAGGATTAACAAAAATAAATAAAAAAATAAAGTAGAATAGATGAAATAGAGAATGAAATCAAGGTTTGGTATATAAGGAAGCATATTAAAATCCAACCAGAACATCAAAAAGATAAAATAATTTTTTTTTAAATGAGGCAAGAGCATCTACCTATGAACCAAGAGGTCACGGTTCGATTCCCCTTCAGGGCACATACCTGGGTTGCAGGCTCAATCCACACAGTGGGCTGTGCAAGAGGCAACTGATCAATAATTCTCTCTCATCACTGATGTTTCCATCTCTCCCTCTGTCTCCCTTTCTCTCTTAAATAAAAAAAATGTTAAATGTGCAAGATAAGAATAGAATTTTTCTCCCCAAAATTGTGAATAATAAATACATGTACTAGTGGAAAAGAATTCTCTTATAATAACTGTACATTATAACTGTAATTGTGCCTCCATGAACAGCAAACATTTTGCATTATGACATATGTTACAGGGAAGGAAAAATTCATAGGAAATGAATTGAAAACATTTCAAAATATCAGTATAATTTTAATAAAGAAGCAATTTGGGGTCCTGGCCTGGTAGCTCAGTTGGTTAGAGCATCGTCCCAATACAACAAGGTTGCAGTTTCAATCCTTGGTCAGGGCACAAATATATTGAAGCAACGAATGCATTAATAAGTAAAACAACAAAAATCAATGTCTCTCTCTCTCTCTTCCCCTTCCTCTTACTCTCTAATAAAAATTAATACAAAAAACATTTTTAAAAATATATATATTTTATTTTTTACAGAGAGAAAGGGAGAGGGATAGAAACTTAGAAACATCGATCACCTGCCTCCTGCACACTCTCTACTGGGAATGTGCCCGCAACCGAAGTACATGCCCTTGACCGAAATCGAAGCTGGGACCCTTGAGTCCGCAGGCTGACGCTCTATCCACTGAGCCAAATCGGCTAGCCGTGGTGGGCAAACTGCGGCTCGTGAGCCACATGAGGCTCTTTGGCCCCTTGAGTGTGGCTCTTCCTAAGCCTTAGGAGTACCCTAATAAAGTTAATAACAATGTACCTACCTATGTAGTTTAAGTTTAGAAATTTGGCTCTCAAAAGAAATTTCAATCATTGTACTGTTGATATTTGGCTCTGTTGACTAATGAGTTTGCCAACCACTAGAGGCAATAAAAAAAAATTTAATTGAGAGAAATTTTTATCATTATTGCTGCTACGCCTACACAAAGTATACAGGTGTAATCAATCCTAAAGTTAAAAAAAAAAGAAAACAAAACAAAAATGAAAAAAACTGCCTTATATATATATAAAAAAAGAACCATAAGAAATTTATAAAATGAGCAGAGAATGACTGATGTTTAAAATAAAATAAACATTTCAAATCTAAGTAAATAAATTAAATAAAATAAACATTTCAGCCCTGGCCAGGTAGCTCAGTTGTTGAGAGCATAGTTGCAGTATGCCAAGGTTGCCAAGATTGTGTGTTCTATCTGCAATCAGGGCACATGTAAGAATCGACCAATAAATGCTTAAATAAGCGGGATAAAAAATTGATATTTATCTCTTTCCCCCTCCCTCTCTCCACCCCCCCCCCTTTACTGTTCTATTTCTCTTAAATCAATACAAAACAAATGAAAACTTAAACTAAATATTTCAGGTTAAGTATAACATGATTAAGAGATATACTGAAGAAAGACATTGAAAAACATCATCATTGCTTTTTCCTAATATATAGATATTCCACTCATCTATGCAATCATTGGTAACTCCTTTTGTTTGTTGTTCTTGTTAATCCTCACTAGAGGATAATTTTTCCTTCTTTTTTTAGAGAGAGAGTGGAAAGGAAGGAGGGAGAAAATGGGGAGGGGAGAGGGGGAGAGAGAGAGCGCGCAATGTGAGAGAAACACTTCATTGACTGCCTTCCCCAAATCCCAACCCGAGCTGGGGATAGAACCTTCAACCCAGTTACATGTCCCTGACAAGGAAAAGAACCCTCCACCCTTGGGTGGGCGGACTTAACTCTAACCTGAAGCATACCAGCCAGGGCAACATTGGTTGTTTCTTGAATTCATCCTGACCAGATCAAATCCACAACCTTGGCAGACAGAGATAACGCTCTAACCAACTTATTACGCCAGCAATAGCCCACATGTTCTTTCATTTGCTCAGAAAAGATGACAAGGACTTGCTTAGAGACTGCAAGAATTACCAGTATTTCTTTTTAGACTAGAGGCCTGGTGCACAAAATTCGTGAAATGGTGGGGTCCCTAGGCCTGGCTGGCAATCAGAGCCAATAAGGTTCCCTGCTTCCCCGCCTCCTCCATCCCTCATCGCCCGTGTGCCACCACCAGGTGGTTCGCCACCAAACGGAGCCTGCAGACCAGGGGAAGGAGAGGTGGAGGGGCCCAGGAGGTTGGCCCTGAGGGAGACAGCCCTCAGCCTCCCTAGGTATGGGGCTGTGTACACTGCAACCCATCCCCCTCCCAGGTTCCCCATCCCAGCCCAGGGGGCCTGCTGGCCAGAGGGAGGGACCAGGAGGTTGGCCAACAGGCCCCATCAGCGATCCGGACCTGCGGGCTAGGGGCAGCTCCTGTGTTGAGTGCCTGTCCCCTGGTAGTCAGTGCGCGTCATAGCGACTGGTTGTTCGGTTGTTCCATCGTAAAGGTAGTTTAGGTTTTTATATGTGTAGATGGAACATGAGTTTTGATAGAGATTCTCCTATTTCCAATCCAGTTTGTCCACTGAAAATTTGAATATTCTAGAAAATTGTTTTCCAAAATACTGTTTTCTCACAGAACCTTAGTCTAGGCAACAAGTAAAATTTTCAAACACTGAGTTCCTGATTCACATAACAGTCTTTCTTTTCTAAACCATAAAACCCCTATTTGTTCCCTAAGAGCAAGAATCAGAAAGTCTACCCTAGAAAGCAGAAGCCTCCTAAAGATGTTAAAATAAAGGAAAAAATACCCTGCAGGTGAATCAACAACTCGGGGAGGAAGTCATCCTTACCCACAGAGATCAGGTTGCTGTAGTTCTCCGACATCACATCCAGGTACAATTTCCGCTGAGCTGGGTCCAGGCATTCCCACTCCTCCTGAGAGAAATCTATGGCCACATCCCTGAAGGTCAACGGTCCCTGAAAGAAAAGACAGGTTTACCAAGAGGTCACCAGAACAGTTCATAATGTCACCCAACATGAAAACAGTGTTAGGAGATAAAGAAAAAAATGAAGGGAAAAAAAGAAACAAACAAAAAAGAAAACCGTGTGAGGAGAAGAGGTTTTGACCAAGGGGAATATCCTGAATCACCCAATAAGATCACTTTGCCCAGTAACATTCTCTGGTATGTTTTCGAACACTAACAAATGAACATGACACATGTCCCAAAATCCATGGTACAGATTTTACTTTTCAGGAAAATAAACTGTAAAATTAGGGCATCGACACGGGCATATGGGTTTCTGAGGGCTGTGTTTGCATCGTTCAGGGTCCGTGGTGTGTATTCCTCAGCTGGAGATGTCATGCTCAGTTGGAAGCATAATTACGGCCTGAAGTGTAACACAGTCAACCACGACTGCACTTTTCTAAAAATACAGATTCTGATCCAGGTTCTCAGATGGGGCCTGTGTTTCCACGTGTGTAACAAGCTCACTTTTCACTTGTGATGCCAATGTTTATGGTCCATTTGTCATACTTCTGAATAAACAGAAGAGAAAACACAGGAAAAAATTCATACATAACTTTTAAGTGAAAGTAGTTTTCAATGGATTTTATAGTTCTCATGGAACAGGACACATAGGAACCACAATCCTATTTGAAATTTTACTATGAGTATTCTTAGAACAAGAATTTCTAAGAATTTGTGAAACACATAATTAAAGTTACCAGTAAACCTTCAATTTTATTTCAAACTCAATCTACAATTAAAAAACAAACACAGGTCAATACCCATAAAAAAAACCTCATGAATATTCACAGCTGTTTCTGTAACTGAGAAGAAGAATAAAGACAGGTTAAGCAAGTAAGAAAATATAGCTCCAACGATGTTAACATTTTATGTAGGGACACACACTTATGAGAACTTACCTACAATATAAAATGGATAGAAAAAAAGAATTGTCATGTCAATGAAATCAAGGTTATTTTGTGATTCCATAAATTTCATGAACCTCTTTGTGAATGATACCCTTTGTGTATTATAAACACAATAAGGAGATGAACTCACATAATGATAGAAAAAATGGTAGACCTACTGTTTCTGAGTCGCTAATGTATTTGGAAATATTTATGTGTCATTAGTGGAGAGCTACAATCCTAGAAATTTACCTGAACTGGAGATACATTAATAATGTGATTCTTGTAAACTTTCTAGAAAATATAAAAAGTGATTATGTCGAGTATATCCATGAATGAGTGTAGAATATTATAAAAATTTACAGCAAGAATGCCTCATTGGTTGAAGCTCCCATGTCAAAAGACAGTGATCTGTAGGAAATAAAAGTAGGGCTTTTATTTTTCTAAGCAAGTAGAAGCTAAGACGAAGAGGGGGGCTTCTGGATGGTCTATGCACATCTCTCAATAAATTCTACGATTAGGGGAGCATCTCAGCCAAGGGAATATCAGGTGAACTGGAACAATGGATAGCAAGTGACTGAGGCACAGGAAAGGACATGTCATAGCAAAAATACATAAATAAGCAAGTCATTATGTGAAAATGGTCATAAATGAACATTATCTTTTGCAAGTGTCAATCCATGTGTACCTCTCATGTTCTGTAAAGATTTAAATAGCAAGTCTTTCTTACTAATCTAGTGAGCAAGTCTCTTCTCTTTACTCTTTGGTTCAGAACTTGCTGAGCTATTCTGAGCAGTAAGATGTGCATTTTCTTACCCCTATTCCAGAGCTGATGTTCCAGCCACTTGAACCTAAAAGCTACATTTCCCTTCTTCACCGATACCCGAGCCTCTGGGCCCATCCCAGTAAGGATGTTAGACATGGCTGCCTTCCAAGGTTGATTCGTCAGAGGGGGATGTTTTCAGTAAGTGAAAGTCATCAATTAAAGGTGGGAAATCTTCCTGACCTGGTGAAGCCTGCATAACATGAATGCAGAGAAGGCTCTGGGCAAAAGAAAAAACTATATACACTGCTGACCTTGATTATCACAAGAAAACCGGTAATTAAATAAGTAAAGGAAAAGAGCATGAATAGCACCAACATCAGAAGGGGCAGGTTCTAAATCCACAGATGTCAGAGGAAAAGGAAACATAGCTTGTGACCCAGGACACATCTTTTACCTGAGAAGCAGCCATTTGGTCCTGGTCCTGATCAGGGTGTGGGTTGTTTTCTCAGGCGAGGATATGTTGAGGAGTCACAGAATGTGCCTTCAAAGACGTCAGCACGGCGTCTCGATCACCTCACCCTCAGTCAAAAGGACCTGGAAATGAAGAAAAGGCCATGCCTGCCTGTCCTTGGTCACAGGAGAGAGTGAGGAACAATGAGCTCCTACATGGAGACCACACTGGGAATTTTTGAGTGTGTGTCTTCATGTGTCTCTCCTCCCAAAACATCCACAAACATCCCAAAACATCCACAAACTCCTACAGAAATGAGAACGTGAGCTTCTGTCCTGACCTTCAAAAACTGAACAGAGCACCCCCTTACCTCCCCTGAACAAAGCCTGCTCCCCACTCTCACAAAGGCATCCTGCACCCCTCCTACTAATCCCTGTCCTCACCTTCCATCACCTGGAGGCCCTCAGTAACCAAGGATGCCCCACCCAGAAAAGCTGTCCAACTCTATGGGGGAGAGTGCCCCTGAGGGCATTTCTTTAAGCTCCTCCAGGGATCTGAGAAGACCCAGAGGATTTATGTCAGGATGTTCTTAAATAATAAATTGTCAGACATAGAAAAAGTAAATCCATTGAAGAAACACACACACAAAACACCACAACAAAAAACCTAAGGTTTCTAATATTCCTTGAAAAAGAACCAGGTGGTGAAAAACACAGGTCACCTCCTCATAGCCAACCCAGGAAATGGGGACCCATGACCAACAGACAAGTCTCTCCCCTCTGAGTGAATAAGGGTTGCATTTGGAAGCAAATCACTATAAAATCCCAAAGCCTTATAAAGTGGAGATTTGTCATTCTCATTCAAGTCTGTATAACTAAGACAATTCAGCTGTTAAATATATAAAGCCATGGTTAGGAGGCATGATTTACTGGCTGAGTTTGGACCTATGAACCAGGAGGTCATGGTTAGATTCCTAGTCAGGGCATGTGGCCAGAGTGCAGGTTTGATCCCTAATGGAGGGGGTGGGGGTGAGGGTGGGGGCAGGAGGCAGCTGATCAATGATTGCCTTTACTCATTGATGTTTTTTCTGTTTTGTTTTTTAATTGATTTTTAGAGACGAAGGAAGAGGGAGAGTATTGCGGTAAAGTGGAATGAAAAGTTAACTAGAAGAGGACGTTCAGCCAGGAAAAGGCGGGAGCCTGCAAGCAGGCCACGTCAGAACAAAGTCTTGCAAGCAAGACTTATTGTTCAGAGGCAGGACTTTCCTTGAGGTGATAAATAGTCCATGAGGGCATGGAAAGCCAGGGAGGGTGCACTGCTGCAGGTGGAAAGAGTCTTTGTATAACATAGGAAATTAATAGTGTAATGTATAACTTAGCTTTGATGATTTCATGAGCATGCTTGTTAACCATTGTCACTTGCTGTACTCCATTGTTGTTTGCTGTGCTCACCCCCAATAAAAGCCAGAAGGCATCAGAAGGTCTTTGCTACACGCCTGAGCGAGTGGTAGCCCTCTGCTCTACTTCATCCTACACGCCAAGCTTGCCTCAGTGTCTCCGTTCACAAAGAACATCAATAAACATCGATGAGAGAGAAACATCGATCAGCTACCTCCTGCACAAGTACATGCCTTTGACCGGAATCGAACCCGGGGAGCCCACAACCTGGGCATGTGCCCCTGACCAGAATCAAACCGGGGACCCTTCAGCTCATAGGCTGATGCTCTATCCACTGAGCCAAACTGGCCAGGGCTCATTGATGTTTTTAATTCTCTCTCCCTTTCCTTGCCTCTTGGTAATCAATAGTAATATCTTTAAATATATATGTATATG